AGCGTCGGTCTGCCATATTGCCGCTGATGAAAATTAGTAGTGACCTGCTATCAATAGCACCCCATACCAAACTCCCACGGTGTGTGAGCGTGACGCTCTCTGTCAAATTGTGGCGCACGTCTTTCACCACGTCGCCTTCTCACTCTTCCCCGACCGTCGTGCATCCCCAGACAGAAGCGAGATACGTCACTAAAGACCACCTGACTCCATTCCCGGTACCACAGAAATCTTTCTCTCCACCAGAGCAAACGGTTACGCCGATGTTCAGATGTGAGAGATATCACCTAGTGTGGGCAATAAGAAAAAAGGCTAAAGTGTCGTATTCAACCATCCTTCAAACTACTGATTAGCGATGGCTCGAGTACCACTGAATCTGTCTCTCAGAGCCAGAAGTCTTAACCGACGACCCTGTCGCTCTGTGGTAGCTCTGGGACGTCCAGAACCCCTCGCTCGCTGCCCTCGGCCTCCCTAAGTCCACGTTGCTGTCCATGGCAAAATAAATCGATATGTAAAAAATTCTTGAATTCTTTACCTTTTTTGTCACAGTATATATAGGTACACATGTCATGTTTTAATAAGGTGACAATGCTGCTGTAGGTACTAATTTTTTACCTAGCATCGTGTGCATTTAACTTTTATGCCTTATGTATCTAAAATTCAATTCTTCTCCTCCTTTCGGTGACAACTCTTGACTTACTTCAGTAAAAGAATTGTCATTTACCGAAGAAAGTCACCGGTGTGATCGAAACGTATACATCAAAGAATAATTTTAAGTACATGTGATTTCACTACTCGACAAACATGGGGAATTATCAACATTAAGGGAAGTTTAGACGTTACATTACGGCTATTTGGCTTAGCATTTCAATTTGTTTTTAATTAACTTTGTCTGCTTGATTAAGCAGCTGAAATGATATTTTCAAAGAAGTTCATCATTTTATATATGAAAGTTTTTGAATATGAGGTAATCCTTTCTGGCTATTCGGTAAAAGAAAATCAGAGGATTAAACTTTGGATGCCCGTTTCATGTTTTGAGGTTAGCAACAAACTCCCAAAGTGCATTTAGCACAGCAGGATAGCCCCAGTTTCAGTGCTGGTCAAGGTATTAGTTGCGTTTCTTTTGCAAGTGAAGTGGGGCGGTCCAAACAGAGATGCGGCTGTCAGATCAGTAAGCGTATGGCTCACTTCGCACTTCAAAAATAACAGCTGAGCTCACCTTCTTCGACACAGGTATCATGTAAAAAACCTATAAAACGTCAAAAAAACCTATAAGATGTCAACTTGCAGACTAGGTAGTTTTTAGGGCGCAAACAGTCATTCCACGTTTGCTCACTAGGATCGTTGTGAGCGTCCATCGATGGAGGAATCACTCAACCAAACTACGCATTATTGGTTGCATAGTTTTGTGGGGCTGAGTGATCCGGGCCTGTAGTTTTTATCTCTGCATGTGTATAAAATCAGTGATATTTGCTGTGTGAAAATCGTTACTGAATATGTCGAATATGACGGGTTATTTATATGTTATGCTTTCTGAAGAGAGGTAATGTTCAAAGTTATAAATTACGAAAAACTGAGGTGAATTACTGGAAATCATCACCGCGCCCGCGTTGTGTGTAATTACTGTTAGCCTGTATATGGCTTGTAATTCGACAGTGTACAGTGATTATAATTATTTCTTATCTCTCTCATTATTGAAATTGAGCAAATTTGTATATGTAATTTCCAGAATGGATAAGAAAAAGTCGATGCGCAACTAATTCCTAGATTTGAATCTCAATTAGGTGTATTTGAGACAAGAATCCAATGTAATTATCATCAGCACATTCAACTAACAGCTTAGACCTCCAGTAATGCCATCTCAGAAGCAGATTTTACATAACATCAGAGCCAAAGATTGATAACAAGCCTCATGGTGTTTAGGCAACACGTACAACTAAGGACTAAGTTAATATCTTGTAGAATAACCTACATAATATCAAAAAAAACAGCGTAATGTCAAAAAAATCGGCATAATGTCACTCTTAAAGCTACGTGATACCGCTGCCGAACACAACAGGACAAAATAATACTTTCTGATTTATCTTGGACTTACCTACACTCAACACCAAACATTTTTGCAATTTGCTCGCATGGATCACCGGAAGAAAATAATTGTAAGCAAGTAAGTTAAAGATTTCACAATTTGAATTCGGTGGATTTTGTGCACAAAGTAAACCTAATTCAACAGCTACAAGTGATGACAAATCTCACTGGGATGGCATTATTCTGAAAATCTCACCTCATTTAAACTGTTTCGGTGAAAATAACGTGCAGTTAACTGGAGTGAGGTGGGTGTATCTAAGATTGTTCGTAAAGCGAACGCGACTGTAGGTGGCGACCTTTATTGCTGATACAGTACATTTAGAATCCTCAAAAGAAAGTAAGAATGTCATATAAACATCATCGATATAACTCACAACTTTCTTTGATTATAGTTAACTGTGTATTAACGACAGCAATTATCCGCTTTAATTATATCAAAGGAAAAATCCGGTCTAGTTGAATTTTTGCCGTATTGTAGACCGCAGTTGTCCCACGGCATAATTTCATGAAGAGTCTCACTTCAATGAAACGGTCCTGTTATACACGTCAGCGGCGCCAGTTCGCTAGAGCACTGCAATTTAGTCGAACAATACCCAATTCTATGATTTGTCCAACTTTTCGCATTGCGGCTAGAGCTGTGTGAAAATATTTAAAACTTCCGCATAAAATAGATACGGAACATGAGCTAATAAGCCATGCCGGTTTAACGTCATAGTAAAATCGTGTTAGTGATGTTAACAGTAGGTGATAGGCAGTTTAACTTTTCATCTTAATTTGGGACAGTACTGTAATTGCAAAAATGTTCGTAACCAAGGTGGTATATTCGTACTTTCCCCTATACACATGGCTCTTTGCATGACGTCAGAGATCTACAAGAGATCTGTCGGTAGATATGGAGATCCAAGGATTGCTGCTATACTATCAATTCGATAGCATTATGAGGGTTTCAAATTAATTTGTGATACCAGATTATCAATATGATGATGGAAAGGGTAAAAAGCCTTGTGATACGTGGAAAAGATCGGGAAGGGGAAATACTTAGCAAAAAATCACTCGTCACCACATTAGCACTTTTTCTTACATAAGCACATGTATACGTATAGTGTACCAATACCCTCAAAAGTTACGTCAAGCAGGCTGAAGTATGTGTCTTAAATATTTTCGTCATTTCAATTTATTGGGAATACTAAAAAACTCTGTATTTTTATAATGGTTTACCTCACTTAAATAACAGCTTCAATAGCTCTACGCGGGAAGTTTCAAGAAACAACCCACTGTTGTTATTTTACAAGCTTTTATTCAACTGCCACGCTCTTTTTTTTAATTAAAATCACTTTTTAATTTTGAGCTAAAGTTATATCTCTCAATTGAGGCAATCGATGATTAAAAAAACTAGGGGGTTACTGAGGTTAAAGCCGTGGTTTAGCGTTGGCAAATTAGGCCCTATGCTCAGGTATAGCGGAGAGTAGGGGGGAAGGTACCAGCTTTTATCCGCCAAAACTTGGTGTTGAAAGGCACACTTTAGCCCAAAATCCCAAGAAACAAAAACAAAAATACATACAAACAATAGATTTTCTGTGTGGGTAAATAATTGCTAAAATTAACATCAATACATTCTATTACATATGTATACTAACGGCTAACAACAAACATTTAAGCCAGCCAAACTAGGAGATCTCCCTTAATGCGAAAGCTTATTGACTAACTAATTTAAAATGGGCGAGAAAGACTTCAAAACCGATGACGTAAGAATCCCTATGGTGGAAAAAGGGTCTCTGTCCGGAAAGAGGTCCCCGGTAGAAAACGTGTCAATGGATCTCCAGTAGCGAAGATTCCCCCAAAATAAAAACCCTAGGAAGAATAATAGTATTCAGGCGATCGAATGTAACAGTATAAAAAAAATACAAATTTAGTTAACAACAATTAACGTAATTGGAAAAGTAATATTCATATATTGAATATTAATTATAAAAAAAGGAGCGAATAGAAATTAAATATTTTGGATAATTCAATTATGATTTTTGACCACCCGGTATAACAGATTTAAAATTACACATTGAGTTACTCGGAAAATATCATAAAACCAACGCATGCTCCACAGAATACTGAGTTAACTCCATTTTAGAACAAGAATAATTATTTACTTTTGAGAAAACTCATATATATGAGAAATATGGTCTTTTGCCTAAATTTTCATTTACTTAAAATAAAATAATTCTCACCTAGATGATGTCGGGTAGGGTTTTTCACGTGGTTCCGTCTGGCGAAAAGTGCGGCTGAAGACAATAAGATCCTACAAATTGTAGCATTTCTCGGGTCCAAGGGTAGACAAAAAAAAGATGCTACGCACTCACAACAGGAATGACCCAGGAAATTATCTATGAAAAGGGAAAAAAGGAGGAAAATTTCATGTCTTCTCGCACTAGCGGAACAGAATAAGATAGCCCTCTGATAGTGGAAGGATGTCCCCTCCCAAAATTTAATTTTTTTCGACTTGACATTTCCAAATATAGTTGTACGCCTGACCATTGAGAGCCAAAAGTTGTCGGTTAAACCCAAAATGAGAAGGTTCCTAATATAAATTCAAGGAAATATCGTGAATAACTGTGGCAACACTGTCATATCTGCATATAAATTTGATTGATTAATAAACATAAGGAAATTCTGAAATAAAATTGGCAACTATGCGGAACAAGCGAGGTGTGCAAGTAGTTCGGTACGCAGAATAGGACCTCGACATCAGCGACATCTGCCTTTGACATTGGAAGATTTCAGAAAACAATAATAAATTCATCTGACTATAAAAGAAATACATAGTCCAATAGGTGAGTAATAATATTTATGCAACACAAATAGTTTTTAAATCAGAAGGTGATATCAATTTATCGATGTACATTTATTTATTTATTTATTTTTGCCTCCGGAGTGACAAACCGGATTGTTGTTGGGATGTAAACAAATCCCCGAGGCGAAAATTTCGAGATTGAAATTGATTTCTTGACGGTGGAAGGTCTAGCATGGGATGAAAGCAACCGAGTTATTTATGAAATTATGTGGAGATGAATACTAAAATTATTACCCATGGTGAACCAGGGAAATTACTAGGCATCACAAGAAGAAATTGTCCATATCAGGGTGAGTAAATTCTTCAATTAATTACCTGAATCCATGAAAAATTGACTACACATTTATAAACTTAGTGGTAGAATCTGTAAAGATGATCAAAATGGAGTGCGATTGCTGTACGTTAAATTTAATAATTCAAACTTTGGATTATAAAATAGATCAGGATGGATTATGTTTAATTGATTGCGAAATATTTGGTTTCAGTTCCCAAGTTGTTCAGTGACATGGAAGATGCTGACTACTATATACAGGCAGCCAAACGACTATAGAAGAAAAACAACGGTAACAAATTAAAAATTATAGTTATTCCGTGGTATTCATGTGTTATATTTGTTATTTCAAATAAACATGATAATAGGTAAATGTCTGCGTGTTATTTATTTTGGTTATGAATTACGTGAGAAAAATATAGCTAAATACACCGTTAAAAACCAGACCTATCTTGGGAAATGGCCAATGGGCCGGTCTAGCCATTTTTGTCAATAAAATTGATTTAATAATATGCTATGAATAAAAATAATATGCTACGGAGATTATTAGATTAGATTATCGGCTTTTGTTTCTTCCTTCTCAAGTTTTTGCTGCATTACCTCAAACTAAACCTGTGCGACAACAACAACAACAAAAAAAATATATGATTCATCAGCAATCAAGGCAACTGTTACACAACTTGACCTGATGGGTAGTATGTTTATATGTATGGGACACATCTTGTAAATGATCTTGGATCCACCAGATTTTTCTTACGATACAAATACAAAAGCTTGATGACGCCTGATGATATTATTACCTTTTTCTACAAGCTTTGGTTAAACTTAACTGGCATTAAAATATCCTCACAAAATTAGGCAATCAGAGTTACACCATCATGTATCGCAGCTTGCGAAGCATCGAGAGCGATTGCGATAATGTGCGTGAGCGATCAGGAAGGTTCTGTATTGCCATCGGGAGCATTCCAGAAATATCGCGATGAGTGAACTGAATCAGTTAACCCTAAACCATTGGGCTTAAATTTTGTGTAAACGTTTGGTTTTCGCGATAATACAAAATGAATGCCGCCATTTTGAATCCAATATAGCGGATCCGACAAAATATAATATAAGAAAAGAACAGATATGGCGGCCGCTGCTGAAAACGGTTTATAACTTTCATGGTCACCGCTGTGATATAGGTATCTATTTAGTGAAAGGTCTTGGTGAGAGAAACACCAATTTATGTCTATCGAAATTCCATAATACAAATAACGTAAGAAGCCTTATAGAGTCCTATTAATAAGATGTAAGAAAATTATATAGAAATTGCCAAATTACTTATTTGACATTATAGATACCAAAAAGTAAAAAATTATTAACATGAAAAAACCCGTTTTTAAAAACAAGCTTTTGTATAGCTCTTAATAAAAACTAACATTTGAAAATACTTTTTTTCCGATAGGAAATAATTAAACGGTGATGAGGATTCCTTATCTCAAGTTATCAAATAAAAGCGTCTTACGCTTTGATAGTAGAACAGACAATAGTGTAACGTGCTTTTATTTGGAAGCTTGAGATGCAGCAGGTTCATCATCGTCTAAATATTTCCAATTGGAAAAGACATTTTTAAATCTTTATTTCATTTTATTGACAAAGCTTGTTTGAAAAAAGTATTTTTTTTAAGGTATTTGGCCCCCAGACTATAAACGAGTATCTCGGTTTGTTCCAACCACCGCGTTCGCCATTCTTCATTTTATACACCAGATTATCCTTTAATCCCTGATATTCCTATTTGTTTTAGGCAATTAGAGCGAGACTTTTGCACACTGCACACAATTTGCGCTCACCTATTGCAGTGTAGAGCCACCAAGCGGTGATTTACGGGCAAGTGCAACCAAGTCAGGTCCGAAAGATAAAAGTGAATACTGTATCGCACGCGGCGTGTTATCTCTGCATAGGTGGCGTTGGAATGCTCAGCAAGTAGCTTCACTTATTATTAAATAAATAGGAATAGCTACGGAATTACACGATCGAGATTAAGGATGTTGCTGTACCTGTTATATGAAACATGGATCCGTAATTCTCGCATCCCTTGTTTTTTTAGATAAGTGCAAGAAGGTTGAGTAGACAGAAGTAAAGTAAACAATGAAGAGGATTGAATATCAATTTTGGTATTTTATATTGGAAAAAAATACGCTGAATTCAAAATTGCATCTGATGGGCCAATAATGGGACGCCTGCTAGAGCTATCGGTTAAAAAAGTTTATGATGAAGGTGGCCACGAGTAACTGCTGGAAATTATTTTCAGCGTCCTAGAGTAGCCGCTAGGTGGCGTCATTTCAACTTCAAAAATTCAAATGCCGTTATTGTGCAAAATCTCCACATCGATGTACACATTAAGTAGCCCGCTCATCTTCCGAATATTTTCGTTCATGTCATTTCCTCATATCTTGGTCAGTTTATGGTGGGAGAAGGGTTGAATGTAATTTCAAAAAAGTCACATAGCTTCTGTTTGGCTGCAGCGATTTTGATGATCTTCATTCCGTTAGAAATAACTTTCATCTATGCTCCTACTGAATAAAAGAATATAAGTTTTAAAAGGAACAATCATGCGTTGCTTGTCTTAAAATATTGGTTATGGTGTTTAACCTGATAAGATGACAGCAGCAAGTTAAGTTATGGCGAAGTTGTATACCAACATATTTAGCCAGAAATGTATGGAGAGCACGGCAATATTGTACCATAAAAGTTAAGATGTTGTTGCAGATGTACATCCATTAACAGTTACTAGTAGTTATTTTGCACACCAAAGCAACAAGGCACGCAAATATGCCGCATAAAATAGTTGTATAGATGCTTATGCAACAGTGCAAAGTTTGTCATATAAGGTGTTGTATAACTATGATACAAAAATATCTTAGGCCCGTATCATCAGTCGTCCCTAGAATTGTAGGGCGGCTTTATGGCCTCCTTGATTGTCATAGTTTTCTACTTCTCCGTATCAGGACTCTATTTTGAGGTTATGTCACAAACATCTATTTGCATCAAATTGTGCTTGCTTTTGAGTTATATCATGTTTAATCAGCCTGAAATTTCCTACAATTCAAAAAGAAACATATTTTCACAATAGGAGAGCGCTGACGCTGACACGGGACAAGTGTAATCTAGAAATTTTTGAAGGAAAGAAAGGAGTATGACAATCAAGGAGGCCATAAACGCTCCCTACAATTGTAGGGACGACTGACGATATGGGCCTTAGACACCTTCTTAGACAGCTTTTACGGCTGAACAGTTTTTTTACCAAAATCTTATGGCACCGCTTTGCTAATTGAGCTATAATGACAACAGAAATATGCCGCCTGTGCACGCTCAGGTACACGCATCGCCTTGGGTCGCATATCTTCTTGGATCATCATGGATCTAAACGGACATTGAATAGTTCAAAACTCATATCAAAAGTAGATTGTCTTGTTCATACATGTGTAGCATGGTATCAACGCACTGAACAGATATTGTTATTAGAAGCTTTCAGCAAATTTTAGACATTGCAAGTAATATAGATAACCGAAAATGCTGCAATACCTAGCAACAATAACAGAACAAAGTTAACCACAAACGAATTAAGGTGTTTTACCATGAGTTGAAAAGGTCAAGTTCACAGATTTATTATATTAATAAGTCATCATAATCCGATTTTTTTTAGATTTGGACACTTGGCTAATCCACAAAATTTGCTTGCGGATAACAGTTATTGGAAAGTGCATTTGGAAAAAACTTTCGATTAGCGTATAAGTAATAAACACCAGGAGCTTACGCAGTACTCTCAATCATCGCTATTTCCTTTGCGTGCATAGTTCGCAAAGCGCAGGTAGCGCATACGTCAGAAATTCCAATCGGCAACAAACCTGGCAAATAAGAGTCTTATTTACATAAGATAGCGTCGCAATTGATCTTAACTCTCCTCTCTTGCAAAAAACAGTCCCGCCTTCAATCGAACCTATCTGACCGAACGTTGTGCAGGGCTCCGTTGACACCTCAATGGGATTTATATCGGGTGAGTACAGCGGTCGTGTTATGGCGATTATAAAAACACTTTATGTCCAATCGCAGTCTCCCTCATTATTTCATTTGATGTAGCGGCGATAATTTTTTGCTAAGACCTTTTAAACGTTTCTTGCCAAAATACCGAAAAAGGGGGACGCGGCTATCGATATATCGATATCATGAAATGAGATTTCAATGGGTGAAGGTTTTTTGTTTTTAAACACGGTCTTCTTTTCTTCCCTATCTTTTGCAGCTCTGGGCATCAATGAATTACAGCTGATTTGTCTTAGTGAGCTTTTTGTAAGGATACGTTGAAAAGTGGATTGAGCATAAAAGTCCAATTTAAGTAGGCACTTTTTGTTTAGTTTCACGAAAAAAGTGGTCCTTTTTTTACATTCCAAATACCACGAAGGCCTAAGGCCTAAACACCCATGGGATATCTTGGGGCTATAGGGGGATACACGGGAAAGGGGGAACGCCACATGGACTCTTGCGAGGGAACACGTGTGCATGCAACATGCACACATTCTGGCCCCGCCTAAGAGATCCGCGGGGTCGTACCTCTGCGTTCGACAGTCAGAGACCGTCTACCATCTACGGACAAAAATTTCTCTTCGGACGGGATTCGAACCCGCACAGCGCACGGCGATTGATCAGGAGACCGAAGAGTCTACTGCGACCGCCGCTGCTGCTGCATTCTTTCCGAATCGTCTATTTTGAAGATACCTTTCACGACAATTTTCCCAAATTTTGTCAATTTTTATCTTTATAGCATTCGCCAAACATGCCAAAAACTTGACGGCCTTTCCGCATTGACTATTTTGACAATAAGTTTCCCTGAAACTGTAACAAAGCCTTTGTTTTAAACCTTGACTTCCTACTGACACGAAAGGAGTACATCCGATCTTGATGTATCTTCATAGCATACAACAAAGAATGATTTAAACATGAGCGTTGTTATTCCAGCCCTTATTATCGATCACACAAAATTGAGAGTACGAGAAGCATTGTATACAAACTGAAGTTAAAGGAAACCTAGAAAAAAGGATTGCCACTATGCCCTCAGCGCGTACCAAGCACCGAGCAGGAATAAAAATAAAGCTAAACTTAGCTGACTGAAATTGTTAATAGATACTATACCATCGGACTCTTTCCCCTGCTTTCATTACATGGCCGTAGACCGGGAACGGTCCCGAAGTGAAATGAAGTGTTGTGAGCTAGGCAATGTTTTTGGGTTGCTCATGGAATTAGTGTCGACAGACCACTAGGCCAGCAACTGAAATATCTAGGTTATTTGTGTAGAGTGTAGAGTAACTCTTCGTCTATATTCTTTCGGTAAAAG